GAAAGTGAGAGAGAGACGGGATATGCAAGTGACCAGTTGTAACTGTGTGATGTGAGATCGTGGTCTATGAATCTTCTATTCTTGTTCCCTGCAGGAGGACTGCTGAAGTCAGCAGTTTGAGATGTTCATAGAAGCATACATTAAAACAGCCTGATGAAACACCATCTGTTCTTTGTATTAAGGATGGGTCCTGTGTCGTTCTTGTTTGTTCTTTTAAACATTCATTAAATTACTTTGAAAGTGAAGATTGTGAATTTAATGAACATGTAACAGATTTGATGTATGTGTTGTTTTATTGCTGAAAAGTGCACTCTGCCACTTTGTTCAATATTTGGAAACTAACCTGGGCTTTGCACACACAAAACAAGTCCTCCTCTGGTCCACTTCCGAGACCCTGCAATCATATTCATGCTATTAAGTATGGGTGTTCATGGTTCGCATCACATGTGATCACCGGATTTTATGACCAGGCTGTTTAGCAATTTTTTCTTTGTATTACTAATATGCTTATTTTAAAGCCAGCTGTCACCATTTTCGTTAATCAGAGTTCCAGATTCGTAGCACTTCATAGCTGCTGCGTTCCTGTGCAGAGAACCATCACTGTCTTCTGTGACAGTACATTTATACATCTTATTCTCATATTTTAAAAAAAAGTTTGGATGGCCGCATCAGGCTTCTCTAATAAGTCTACCTGTTTATGCCTGCTGCAGTAAACAGTGTAATTGCACCAGTTATATTGACATTAAATTTGTTTCATCCATGGTTTTGGGAAGAGAATAAATCGAATCATAGTTACAAAAAAAAAAAATAAATACAAGATTTAGATTCTTCTGTTGCTTCATTCATCGTTTTTGTTAATAGACCTGAATAATCTTGTGCAGTTACTGCGGTCTTGCTGAGCTGAGTTAAGAATTGACATCATTGATGCCACTGTCGAAATCAAGGCAAGGCGCATGGCCCGCAGCTGGAATCGAACTCGGCACTCCGGCATTACGAAGCGTTTGCATCGACTTAGCCACAGAGCCCACATTGTCTTGTCAGTAGACAAGGGAAAATTCCCGACTTTGTCTACATTTCCGGTCAGTTTAAGATTTTCATCTGCACCAAGAAAGACTGTCTGGTTTGTTTTTCTAGCAATCAATGATATTTTTTTAAATTCTTCTTATAAAAACACATCTCTGCTACTAAGTAACATAAAGTTCAAGATGCAGGAAAAAAAAAGGTTATTCATTAATTAATTCAGTCAGTCAAAAGAGAAAGTAAACTGAGGTATATAGGTATCATTTTCGACAGAAGCTCGTCCTTCGTGGATCATGTGGAGGCAGCTGCGGTGACAAAAGAGGACTCAATGCTCTCAAGATTATGGTAGTCAACGACATAGAACAAAGAATGTTGTTCACAATGTTCCAGCATGTGATCCTGTCGGTGATAGATTCTGGCTTGGAATGCTTATCACGCCAAGAAGTCAGGTAATGAAGCTTGAACGCATACAGAACGAAGCCACGCGGGTAATTCTGGGATGTACAAGAGATACCCCGGTAGTATGTATGCGATAAATACTTGCACTGCCGACGATTACATATAGGCTGATTGGTCTTGAGGCAGCCTATTCCTCCATTTCGTTCTATTCTGTGTAGTCAGTTCAATATCATGGATAGAATCTAGTCCAGCAGCTTTGGCCTCTCTCATCAACATTCGCCCTAGGGTTTCTCACCGGCGTCCTCGTTTTCCTCGATCCATCTGTGTCCCATTTCAGTGCCTGCTTGGTAATACTCTGTTCGCCTCTACTCGGAATGTGCCCAATACAGTGCCATCTTCTCTGTCTTTTACCTGTTGATGTTAATGGCTGACTGGAAATGTTTAGTGTCTTTACTAATTATGACTTCATCCCGTTTTATGTCTTCATTTTCCTCAATTACTCTCAACTTTCGTTATATTCAGTAATATTCACTCTATACTCACTCCATAAGAAATAATGACAAATTCGTTTGTATTTCTTCCCCAGACAAATGAATAATAATAGAACAGAATGTGACATTCTTCTGTCTCTATAAACTTGTAACGACAAAGTGTGTGATACCCAAAATTCCAGTAGTCGTCGCTCCATTATTGATGTACTCAAGGGAAATGGATAATGTTTCAACAGAATAATCGATACTGCTGTTATTGACACGGGCTGAGGAATTGTGTGGACGTGTGGGTTTTGTGTGTGTGTGTGTGAAGGGAAAGGGGGAGGGGTGTGAATCTTCCCTCTTTGACGCAACATGTATTTGATTTTACTTCAATGTTTCATTGTGTGGCAAGATCTGATGGAGGTGCGCTGGAGAAGAGATGAGTAGATTAAGCGGTAGCACACTTGGCTGGTGGTTTTGAAGTGTGGGTTCTGACATGACTTAGAGATGTTCTAAATGGAACAGACAAGGGAAGTGTGCTCAAATGAACATACCAGGGAGATGTGCTCCAAGGAACAGACCAGGGAGGTGTGCTCCGAGGAACAGACCAGGGAGGTGTGCTCCAAGGAACAGACCAGGGAGATGTGCTCCAAGGAACAGACCAGGGAGGTGTGCTCCGAGGAACAGACCAGGGAGGTGTGCTCTGAGGAACAGACCAGGGAGGTGTGCTCCGAGGAACAGACCAGGGAGGTGTGCTCCGAGGGACAGACCAGGGAGGTGTGCTCCAAGGAACAGACTAGGAAGATGTGCTCCAAGGAACAGACCAGGGAGATGTGTCCCAAGGAACATACCAGGGAGATGTGCTCCAAGGAACAGACCAGGGAGGTGTGCTCCGAGGAACAGGCCAGGGAGATGTGCTCCAAGGAACATACCAGGGAGATGTGCTCCAAGGAACATACCAGGGAGAGGTGCTCCAAGGAACATACCAGGGAGATGTGCTCCAAGGAACATACCAGGGAGAGGTGCTCCAAGGAACAGACCAGGGAGATGTGTCCCAAGGAACATACCAGGGAGAGGTGCTCCAAGGAACATACCAGGGAGAGGTGCTCCAAGGAATATACCAGGGAGATGTGCTCCAAGGAACATACCTGGGAGAAGTGCTCCAAGGAACAGACCAGGGAGATGTGTCCCAAGGAACATACCAGGGAGATGTGCTACGAGGAACATACCAGGGAGATGAGCTCCAGGGAACTTACCAGTTAGATGTGTTCCAATGAAGATATCTGCAAGGAACAGGGCTGTTGGAGATGTGCTTTAAAGGAACAGGACAGTGGGAGAAATACTGCAAGGTCAGGGATAATTATTCTAAGTAACATGGCATGGAGAAGTGCACCGAGCAACAAACTAGGGACGTTTTTTCCAAGGCACAGGCCATTGGGATACATTGTCCTGATCTTGCCACGTCAGGGTTTCCTCTCAAGTAGGTAGAGTAGTATCGCAGCAGGCTGTTGAATGTGATGCACACAAGCTGTCCACCTTCCACCACACACGTCTACGTAGAATTATCAAAATTTTCTGACCAGATACAATCTCAAACACTAAACTACTTCAAGTCACAAACCAAGAAACTTTAGACAGTATGATTACCAAGAGAAGATGGAAATGGCTTGGCCACGTTATGCGAATGAATTCTGATATACCTGTCAAAACAGCTCTCACATGGACACCAGGGGGAAAGAGAAAACAGGGGCGCCCAAAAACAACATGGTGACGAACGATGGAAAGTGACCTGAGTGCGGCATCTTTGACATGGAAAACTGCACTGAAGATTGCACAGGACAGGAAAGCATGGAAAGTCCTCTCTGAAGCCTCATGTGCCACTAGGCATAACGAGAACTAATGATGATGATTGTTAAAGAAGAACATTATCAACAAACTAGTAAAGAATCAAGGAAACTGATAGCGCAAGATCGAGTGATTGGCGCTCAACCTCATCAAGACCGCACAAAGAGCCACTATCAACATAGTGCCACCATTCGTATGAGGATCACCCTGGTACTTGTCTTAGAAACCCCGTTCAACCTTTAGGTTAAACATATATTAAGGCCCTCAACTACAGTTGGGGTGCGGCTTTAAAATAACAACAACAACAACAATTGCGTCCCAAATTGGGGCGAGATTATAGTGCAAGGTCAACCACCTAAATTTGGAAGGAAAAAACACAGCTAGAAACAATTTGGTTTACAAGTGCAGAAGAAAAATGTGGATAAAAATATTTTTTTCACTAGTATCAGAAATTGAGCTTGGTCTTTTGTCATTACGTCATTTCTCAGAGCTGCAGAAAAATGTTTCTTTTTCCTAATCTGGTAATCTGGTAATCTTAGTTTCAGCTTCAACGCAAACGGGTCACCCGGTAGTTGCTCCGCTCCTGTGCCAATTAAAAACACACAGAATGTTTATCACAGTCCCTTGTGGAAAGATTGACAGACTGCTGTTTCAGCATATGCACTAGCAAACACACGCATTAAAAGCCTACAGTAGCAATCCAAAGTGCTAACACACACAGTCCGACATTAGAATTGCAGTTCATCATGGATGGTAGCAGAAGTCACCAACAGATCAGCAGTTGCGCACGCGATCAATTTTAATCACATAATGGCACCACCAATATTGCGACAACAGGCATCGCGTCATTTTCTGAATCTACAATTCACGTCACCACGTTGGTCACAGTAGACAAACAGCTAACAGTGTCACGCCATGCGCTCATCTCAGAAGCTGATCGACGAAACTATCCTTTCAGTCTGCAAATGGAACAAAAATGCACCGGCCACCGTCTGGCAGAAGCAAAAAAAAAATTGCCACAGCGCACAACAGTGACCGTGCCTAGCGTCTATTTTGACCGGAAGTAGTTGGGGTTTATTAACAGTCACCACAGTGGCCCCCTCGTGCTGGGGAAGGGGCCAGAAGCATAACATCCATCAGCAAGGTATCGCCCCTCTTCGACCTGACTGCCTTCGTTAACGATTGTGCACACCACAACCATGCAGTTCTTTGGCTTTAAGGAGACACCTTAAACTTGGTTTCTGGACTACCGACTCACTAAAT